ACGGACTTACAATGGCCGCCGCGTGTCCGTTAAGTCCACCAGATCGTAGGGTGTCCCATTCATCAGCCTTGTCCAAATACCCACACTTGCGGTCTTGGCCACTTGAGAGCGCGTGCGCACGACAGGAAGTAAGTGTGCAAGACTGTCCCAGGTCTTAAAAACGCCAGAGTGCAGTGCCCTTAAAGCACACTAAATCCACACTATCTCTTAGTATATCCCATCATGCATCATGTTCTGGAAATAAATCGTGAGACTTTTTGCCGAGATCTCGCGAGAGGTCACGGAAACCTTTCCAATGTATGTTAAATATTAATGATAATTAGATATTACATATAATTTGGTACTAAAACAAAGTGTTGCACGTTTTATTGGTGCAAATGAGTAGTGGTGATATTTATTTTGTACAACATTTGCAACTGCTTTTTATCACTTAATTAGAAGCACCACAAAATTACATTGTCATCTGTTATAGAGACACTGAACAGATATTTAGAAGTTGATTTTAAAATGCAAAGTATTGGGAAAAAAAAATTAAAAAGCTCTGTAAACACTTGCATTTTTACAACACTATAAAGTGTGTCCTATCAGGTAATGAAAAGTTCTACACACACTTCTGGTCTTCATGCTCACTTGAACACTTGGACCAAATAAAGGAAATATGTCATATAAGTAGTCAAGTGGTCAAGTGCAAAGAACGCAAGTGCGGGTATTTGGACAAGGCAATCATTTTAGCGTTCAGAAGGGTGCTCGCGAGCGCCCCCGCGCCCTCGATCCGCACTTCTGCCAAGCTCGCACTGGTGTGAGCTCCGCAGCAGACTTCTACCCGCCAGTCAAAGCGGCATTACGTCACGAAAGTGCGGACTCGGAGGAAGACCGCGAGGGTTTAGGGTGCCATTTGGGACAGGGCCAGTGTGGATATAGTGTGCGTTAAAGGGTGATTTATACTTCTGTGTCAAACCTACGCCATAGCCTTTACGCCGTAGGCCAGGGATCCTCAAATCTAGCCCACGAGATCCACTTTCCTGCAGAGTTTAGCTCTAACCCTAATCAAACACACCTGAGCATGCTAATCAATGTCTTCAGGATCATCAGAAAATCACAGGTAGGTGAGTTTGATCAGGGTTGGAGCTAAACTCTGCAGCGCATTGGACCCCCAGGGCAAGATTTGAGAAACCCTGCTGTAGGCTATGCGTCAGTTCCAGTAAAGTACAGATACTTTAAAAATTTACTTAAGTACAGTAACGAAGTAAAACTACTCCGTTACTGTCTGACTGGTTTTCATTTATACTTCTGCGTCGTTGTCCGCGTCAACGTGCAGTACACATGCAAACCGCTAGTCAGCAGTGTCCACGGGCATGTTGCTGGTGTAACCCGCAGTACCACGGCAAAAGCCGAAGAAGAAGCGGCTCGTCGGAGAAGCATTATAGCCGTGACGGCGGCAAATAAATATCAAATCATTAAATCATTATTTAAAACTACAAAAAGGAGACAACAACGGATCAGAAGATGATGGCATTCTTTCAATCTCCACAAGGACTTGTACCACGGCAGATCAACATTGTTTGTTGCGGACAACTACTGATGTATAATGCTATGTAGTATAATAAATGATAAGACACTTGTTCTTTGCTTTGTTTTATTTTATATAAGAAGGTGTAACATTAAAATATATTAAAGTGCACATAAACACACACAAAACTCAAGTACATATGGAGGGAGGGGTTATTGCAGACCAATCACAGCGCTTGCGGTCTGCGTAGAATTGACGCGCTGTTAAGATTTTTGGAGAGGTGCACGTCAGGCTACGGCGTATGGGTGTGCGTCTATTCGTAAACTACAGCGTAGGTTCGACGCAGAAGTATAAATTGGTCTTAAGGGCACCGCGCGTTGCCGTTTTTAAGACCTGGGACTTTCTTGCGCACTTAACTTCCTGTCGCGCGCACGTGCTCTCAAGTGGCCAAGACCGCAAGTGTGGGTATTTGGACAAGGCAATAGTAACTCATGGGAACGTCATATAAAGGAGCTATAGCCATGTCTTAATGCCACACTGTCTTTGTCATTCTTAATTCAAAATAAAATAAGCAGAACGGTAACAGGTTTGATGGATAATCTGAACACACAAGGACAAACAAAGTGTTTGTCAAAGTCTAGAAATATATAAAAAACAAGGGCAAATTACATAAATTATCTAAATAATATAATATGTTACACTTTATTTCGATAGTTCAGTTTAGGCTTTCTACTGACTATTACGTAACTTTGCATAAATAGTAGTTAGTAGGATGTCTAAAGTGGACTACACACACACACACACACACACACACAGGAAATAAATGCTAAAATTTTATCTTCCTGTATATATTTTTAAGTTGTATTTGCTAACACAGCAAAGGCAAGTTAGACTGGGAACAGGCCAAAAAATATTTATGAACAAAGAAAAAGATTTAAAAGATTAACTGTAAATAGTCCTATTAGAGTTATTGATTTTACATTATTAACATTATTTTTTTGATGTAAGGGACACAAATGCCATCCAAATACTTAGAAAGACCCAGCTGGTCACACGTGAAAACATGCAATAGTTTTAGGCTCCAAGAATGCTATAGCTCTTACCCATCAGTGATCCTTCAAGAGATACTATCAGTAAACTTAAAAAGCATTCTAAACACAATAACTCAGAGACAGTCATGTTTCATAAGATACTCAGTGACATGGAAACAAACAAATGACAGCAACGCTACATCGACAGAACACCGAGAACTTCAGCGCTCCTAATTAACCTTCTCCCTTGCAAATCAATACATGGTACAGGCTCTTTTTAATTGAGGAGTAATTATCAGCCTGCATTCATCTGCCTAATGAAACAATGCTTTGTTATGCCTGCAGCTAAAAAAAAAAAAATTAATTGAGTTCCCTTTTGTGAAGCAGACGTTCTCTCCTCATGGTTTTGGCCTGTATAATGTCTGTCTGTGTGGAGATGAAGGCAGATGTTTTGTTGTCCACTGATCACATTGAACACACTCACTCTCCTCCCACTTTTACTCAGTCCCATTTCCGAATTAGATTTTATTTTTCCTAGTCACGGTGACTGTCTCCCCTTGTCTAATGGTGAAACTAAAACTGAGACAACTGATAATAAGAAGTGACCCATACCAAGATGTGTGGCATAGGCTACTTGTTATTTACTAGTGCAGCTATTACAATACTATAATAGTGTGATTACATCCGACCTTGTACAGCCCTGTCGTAAACCATTTTCTGTAATGTGACATATTTCTGAGAGAAATAAATTATTCGACAAGAAAATAAAATGTAGGTTAGGACATGATAATGGAAAGTGGGCATTTACAGTAGAGAGGATGTTATTAATATAAAAAGAAATAATAATAGTGTACTTTAAACCAAAACTGTATAGTTACATTGAGATCAGTTGGGATTTTTTTTTGATAGAAATGAAAACTTTTGTTCAACAGTGATGCATCAAGTTGATCACAAGTAACAGTAAACATGGTTATTTTTTACAAGTAAATAGTTACAAAAGATTTAAGATTTTCATTTCAAATAAATGCTGTTCTTTTGAGCTTTCTATGTATCAAAGACTCCCAAAATAATAGTTTTCACAAAAATATTAAGCAACAAAACATGTATAAAAATAAATATTTCTAAATCACCAAATCAGGATGTTGCAATGATTATTGAAGGATAATGTGCTGAAAGAGTAATAGCTGCTGAAAATAAAGTTTCGGCATCACATGAATCGAATACATTTTCAAATACATTAAATATGTTCTGTGTATTTTTTATCAAACAAATGCAGCCTTGGGAAAATAATCTTAGTGACCCCAAACTTTTGTACTATCTGATAAATTAATATGATCATTCTATTTGATAAATCAGTAAGGAAAAAATGACCAAGTTTAACATAATTCATTTGTCTTAATTTAACAAGTTAACTTTGACAGTCCTGAAAACTCTTGAACCTTGAAGCATATCACCGAAGCCCAGGTTGAAAACTGAATTATTAGTGTTTGTAAGAGAAACTAAGCATCCTGAAAACAACATGGTCTCGGCAGACAGTAAAGTTTATTTGAAATGCTTTGAGACAATTTATACAAAAAAAAAGGAAAGCTGGCAGTTTTTAAAACAATTTAATATAAAGACTTTGTTTAAATGATCTGAACAACTGCTGAAACCAAGGTGGAATGAATGATTCATGAAGGCACTATTGAGTGTACAACTAATGTTGGTTTGAGCCTCTTTCTTTCTTTTTTATCTTCTGCTAAAATGCAGTATAATTAGGACTTCTGAGAGGGTAGTAGGCTGTTGAGACTAGGGATATGCCGGTATCAAATTTTCATGTTGCGGAGAGTGAAAGTGCGCTTTCATCCAGAGCGTCTCTCACATGTTCCGCCATGTGCTTCTCGTCCACGCTTATTTACATCAGTGCGCACGCGTCTTTCACGCAGCATACAGCGGTGTTGTGCATTTTGACCAGTTGATGGGAAAAGTATTCTTAAAATGCATTCAAAATTCTGAATAACTTGTAATATATAATTATTCTCGGTATTTATAAGAGCCCACGATAACAATATCGTGCATATTAATTACCGTGATATATCGCATTACCGAAAACCAGCACAAGTCTAGTTGAGACCAAGTTACCTTAAGTCAATACTCTGCTACTAGATGATACTTGAACCTGTCCAAAACAGTCTCTGTCTGAACAATGAAACAATGAAAGATGAAAGTTCATCTTAGAGGTCAGTTTAACGTTTAACTGTTCTGTCTTCAGGAGATGCAACGAAAAAAAAAAGCACCAGTGGGATCCCCCCCAAAAAAGTCTATTTTCTAAATAACTAGTTTAAAACTCTACAACTTTGAATTTCTTACAACCATTTGGTCCAATTACATAAAATATACATGTAAATACAATTTGTACAGATATGAAATCTGTTTTACCACATTCTAAACTCTAGCTACAATACCTTTTACTAAAGTCTGTAAACACTGTTCATGGCATTCTATGAAAAATGAATATACACGATGCAAGAAAGAGTTAATTCACAAAACCACAGTTAATAGTAAAATAAGGAGGTGCTCCTAATGTACCAAACGTCTGGTACCAAAAGCAGCACCCTTTTGACCCTGTTCAGAATTGATTTTTCACAGCAGTGACTGATGGCCAAAGAGGTTCTGTCATTTTCTTTTGGAAGGCATGATGAATTACATGAAAATTTGATGTCGATGTCACAAATGTTTTCACTGCTGTGAAAGTCCATATAAAGATACTGGGCTTGATATCGAGCGTCACAGTCAGCACTTGTGTGAAGTCTCTCAAAAAACATACTCTAAAATGCTTGGCCCCTCTTCCAGGCATTTCTTCTTCTCTTCCCAGTGAAAGTGACAGAACAGTACATGAACAGGCCAAATGGACCATGCTAATGTCAACTCTAGTTTACTTTTGGATAGATTTTCTCGTAAAAGAAGTTCTGAGCCAGCAGGTAAAGCTCGCCGTCTTTTTCCCTGACGCTGTGAGCGCGCACAAACTGAAACTGTTCCAGTGCAAACTCATAGAACTCGTTCTCCATCTTCCATATGTTGGACTGCTGCAGCTTTGAGATGGACTCTTTAGTGGGAGGTTTCTTCTCGCTCGTTTTCCTCAAGTGAGACTTCTTGCCTGCAGTTTAAGTCAAAGACAAAATAAAATGCAGGTCACTCAGGAGGTTGCACTGGTTTGTATAATTAAAAAAATATTCAATGCTGAATATCTGAATAAAATAAACACATCAGGGGATTTTTTTTAAACTAATAGCTTGAATTTTAAATTCATAGGTTGATGAATTTTGATGAAATATTGATGAAAATATGATGACATATTTTGAACTATATGATACGTTCAAAAATCATAAATATATTGTGATGTATTAAAGTTTGGTTGGAAAATTGACAATCTGTAATTTCATATTTTAGGAATTCATATATAATGCAATTTCATATAACAAAGCGTTTTATTGCAGGTTCATGGTGTAATGTGCTTTATATACAGTAGCTACAGTTCAAAGGTTTGGGGTCAGTAAGTTATTTATAATGACATTTATAATAATAATAATAATAATTAATAATAATGTATGCATTTTGCAGACGCTTTTATCCAAAGCGACTTACAGTGCATTCAGGCTATACATTTTTTACCAGTATGACATTATATAACATTTTATAACATTTATAATGTTACAAACGATTTATTTTATAATGTTACAATGATTTCTGAAAGTTAATGTGACACTGAAGAGTAAAAGTGGCCGCAATACTAACTACAGCTATAGCAGAATAAATAATGGCTGCTGAAAATTAAGCTTTGTCATCACTGAAATAAATCACATATTAAAAGATATTAAAATAGAAAATAGTTACTGTTTTACAGAGAGTTCTCTTCTACAGTGAATAATGTGAAATGCAATTGTTTTATAAGCTTGTTGCTTCACAGACCAGCAGAATTAGCAGTATTTTCAACTGACAAGCCTCCAACTTTAAAGCCAAGGCTCAAAGAAAATCCTGAGTTTTTCCACTGCTTAAAGGGATAGTTCACCCAAAAATGAAAATTTGATGTTTATCTGCTTACCCCGAGGGCATTTATAAAAAACTGTGAATATATTTTAAATATAGTATATTCCTGTGATTGAAAGCATTTTGAGCATCTTTACTCCAGTCGTTGTGGAAACCAATATATTACCATTCAAATGTACCATAAAAAAAAAAAATGTAATGAAATTTTATTTATTTTTATAAATATTTTTATTCAACAAGGACAAATTAAATTGATAAAAAGTGTCAGTAAAAACATTTCAGTAAAGTCATGTTACAAAAGATTTTATTTCAAATAAATGCTGTTATTTTGAACATTTTGAAATATTCAAAGAATCTTGAAACGTAAAATGTATCACGGTTTCCACACAAATATGCAGCAGAAACAAATGTGTTCAATATTGATTATAGTAAGAACCATCATTAATAATAATTAAGCACCAATAATAATTGATCATTACAGAGCAGCAGATTAGGATATTAGAATGATTTCTGAAGGATCATGTGACACTGAAGTCTGGAGTAATGGCTGCTGAAAATTCAGCTTCGTCATGAAAGGAATAGATTGAATTTTAAAAATATATTAAAATAAAAAACTGTTATTTTTAATTAAAATAATATTTCTCAATATTACTGATTGAGCACCAATAATAATTGATCATAACAGAACAGCAAATCAGCATATTAGAATGATTTGTGAAGGATCATGTGACACTGAAGACTGGAGTATTGATGCTGAAAATTCAACTTTGATCACAGCAATAAATTACATTTTAACATGCTGTATTGTGCAAAAGTCTTAGGCCACTAGTTTTTTCACCAACAAAAATGGTTTTAAGTCAGTTATTTCTATCTTTTGCTGTGTCAGACTTAGAAGGAAATATCCATTTCCAAACATTTCTTTTGCCATTCATTGTAATAATCCAGTGAGATTTTTTTTTATGCACAAGGAGTCTGACGGCAGCCAGTGCTCCACACAGAGATCTGATCTCACCTTCATCCAGTCCGTCTAAGATTACATGAAGAAACAGAAAAAACTGAGACAGACTAAATCCAGAAGAACTGTGACAACGTCTTCAAGACGCTTTAAGAAACCTAAACTAGTGGCCTAAGACTTTTGTACAATACTGCATATTCACATAGAAACAGTTATTTTTAACTGAAATAATATTTCTCAATATTACTATTACTGCAGCCTTGGTGAGCAGAAGAGACTCATTTCAAAAACACTGAAAACCTTTGACTGGGAGTGTGTGTGATACATATGGGTCGTGTAAGTCATTAAAGAAAAAAAAAATGGCATTAAAAAAGCAATAAATTAGATTTGACGATACCTGCAGAAACCCTGTATAGTATAGGGCCATTGTGAATATCTTTCTTCCACTGAACACAAAAGGATAATTATGTTTTTTAATGTTCTAGTCATTCTTTTCCATGCAATTACAATGAGCTTTCAAGCTTCATAACTGATGCAAAAGAACCATAAGTACATGTATAACTTGAGAACTGGATCAGTCCGGTTCATGAACAAAATGTTCAAAAGGGTTTCCAAATGAATTCATTTCAACCAATTAATTGAAAAGATTTGACTAAGAATTATTCATCTACAAATCATACATTGTTAAGGTACTTCTTTCATGGGCTGTCATGAATGTTTGAATTTGACCTTCAGGCTGTTTCTCAATCTCACACAAAACTATTGTATTCACCTTTTGTGTTACATGTGTGGTGAGTATCCCAGTTCCAGATCAGCGTCGCCCTGGAAACGCCAGGGGCAAATGGAAGAGGTCATCCACCGCCTGACTGAGCTCTCGGCCCGCCAGCAGCAGTTTACCGAACGACTGGCCGCACGACAGGAGTATACTGACCTGGTCGTGGAACAACTGCAGGCCAGCGTGGCGGGGTGCATGCCCCTCCCGGAAGCGCCCATCAAGGCTCACCAATACCTCGTCCGGTTCACTACCCGTCATCGATGTGCCCTTCGAGCGGATCGGGATGGATCTGGTGGGACCGCTGCCGAAGTCTGCCCGGGGACATGAGCACATCCTGGTCATCCTGGTCGCCAAGAACATTGCCCGAGAACTATTCCTGCTGGCCAGTCGAGTCGGGATCCCAAAGGAAATCCTGACTGACCAGGGTACCCTCTTCATGTCCCGGGTCATGGCGGACCTCTGTCACCTCCTCAAGGTTCAACAGATGAGGACGTCGGTCTACCACCCGCAGACGGTTGGCTTGGTGGAGAGGTTTAACCAGACGCTCAAACGGATGCTGAAGCGGGTGGTGGCCGAAGATGGGCGTGACTGGGACCTCATGATCCCGTACGTGCTCTTTGGAGTCCGGGAAGTACCACAGGCCTCCACAGGCTTCACCCCCTTTGAACTGCTGTTTGGGAGACAACCCAGGGGCCTTCTAGACGTCGCTCGGGAAGCGTGGGAGAACCAACCCGCCCCCCTTTGTAGCCTCGTAAAGCACGTGCGGGAAATGAGGGAAAGGATTGACCGAGTCATGCCTCTGGTTAAAGAACACCTCGTGACAGCCCAGCGCCCAGCAACGCCTGTACAACCGGCCCGCCCAGGCCCGGGAGTTCCAGCCGGGCAATCGGGTGGTGGTACTGGTCCCGACAGCTGCGTGTAAATTCCTAAGCCCGCTGCGCTGTCCCATACCGGCCCTCCAGTAGTGGACGTGGAACCGCAGCTGTCGGCGACCCAGAAAGCGGAACTCGAGGCCCTGGTCAGTCAGTTCCAGGATGTGTTCAGTGAGACCCCGGGTAGAACCACGGTCATCGAGCACGAGGTCCGCACACCACCAGGAGTCGTAGTCCGGCAGCGGCCCTACCGGATACCAGAAGCTCGCCGGCCGGCTATAGAGGAGGAAGTCAAGAAGATGCTCCAACTGGGAATCATCGAGCCCTCCCGTAGCCCCTGGGCCAGCCCAATAGTGATGGTTCCAAAGCCGGACAACACCCCCCGTTTCTGTAACGACTTCAGGAAGGTGAATCAAGTTTCCGCTTTCGACGGATATCCCATGCCGCGGGTGGATGAACTCTTGGACCGGCTGGGCAAGGCTCGATACATCAGCACCTTGGACCTCATTAAAGGATATTGGCAGGTGCCCCTCTCCCCGGGCTCCCGGGAGAAGACGGCTTTTAGCACTCCCAACGGCCACTGGCATTACCGGGGGCTACCCTTCGGCCTACACGGGGCACCAGCCACGTTCCAGCGGTTGATGGACATCTTGCTCCGGCCCCACCAAGCCTACGCCGCGGCTTACCTAGATGATGTCGTCATACACTCGGAGGGCTGGGAGACTCACCTGGAGCGTCTACGGAGGGTGTTGACAGAGCTCCGGCGGGCTGGCCTGACGGCCAACCCCAAGAAGTGCCACCTCGGCCTCACCGAAGCAAAATACCTGGGGTACAAGATTGGAAG